TATTCATGTGAAAATATTGATTACGATTTAAGAAATACCATAAAGAATATAAACATACTGTAATTGAAATTTATTATAGGTTTGTGTAAAAATAATTATTTGTTGTATATATATATACATCTGTTAAATTTTCATATTCAGATTTTGTAACAAAATTTATTACAATATGTTCAGTTTGATGAAACAGATTGAAAATAACAGTACAAGCAGAGAAATTCCTTCTCTGCATCTTTGAATTTCGCTCGCAAATCACAATGTATACGTTGCGACATCTATATGAAGCTGTCAAATTGCCGATAACGTTAATCAGCTGTAAGCGTGTAATTGAAGTAATGAACTCGAAAGAATGTCAATTTTACTTCTTTTTTTCATAACGTTTTCTAATGGATTTACGATTTAAATAGTATCAATTGAAACCACAGAAAAAAAGAAATGGTTTATACGGTAAATCAATATTTCTTACCATTATTATCGTGCGTAAAATGAAATAATCTTTGCGATTTAACGAATACGTGAATAATTTAAATAGCCTTACAAAATCATGAATTAAAAGTTTTTATCCTTTCTTAATTCTTTAATTTAATAAATAAGTAATCATTGCTTATTGTAATTTATATATACATTTATATTTTCTAATTTGTCACAGCCACTTTTAGACAATAGTCCCGCCCGAGTTCCTGTCAATCATGGTACAACTAAGTACAGTAAATTGGAAAATGAAATTGATAGTCCAAATAGGCAATTTTTGGGAGATACATTACAACAACAAAATGACATGATGAGGCAACAAGATGAACAATTGGATATGATAGGTGAAAGTATTGGAACATTGAAAACAGTGTCTAGACAAATTAATACTGAGCTGGATGAACAGGCAGTGTAAGTTTAAATCAACAACATTTATAATTTTTAATGAACTCACTCTTTAAAGCAAACTATTTTTAACAATATGTTTCTAATCATTTTAGTATGCTAGATGAATTTGGTAACGAGTTAGAGGTCACAGATTCTAAACTGGATGCAACAATGAAAAAAATGGCCAAAGTTCTTCATATCTGATCTTGCCTCTAAACCTTCTTCTCTATCATCCTTATCAAATACAATAACTAATTGTTTCTTGTGTTCTGGAGATTAAATAGGTAACACTACCATAACTTTACCATAATTATTCAGTAATATGTATGAATCGTATTCTTTTGCTTAAGTGTTTGCTTTATTCAAGTTTATTTAAAACATTAATTTAGCTTCATTACTAGCATTTAATTTTTATAAATACAAAGCTAATAATTTACATCTACTGAAAAATTATGGAATATTGTAACAAATCTGATATTGGTAATTCATTTTGTCTTTACAATAATATTGCATATCATAGTTACCCATGAACAATTTATTTCCTCTACACTTTTTAAACTAATTTAAATTGATATTTAGCACTGATGCACTTATTTTTAATTATTTCATTTTTTCTATCAAACATATGAGGGTTATACTGATATATGATTGTTTCTAACAATCTAACAAATAATTTACTGGAGGGTAGAAGTCTCACTAAATTAAAATTACTCTGAAAGCAAAAAATCATAAATGAAAGATAATATGTTTCTAATAAATAAATAAAACAAACTGATGACAATTTTCCAATTGCAATATGATTCATGCATTTCATATATCTATTTCACTTCTTCTAATTCTTTTACTCATAAACAAAATATTATGTCAGAACAGATTATGTATTAAATTAACAAATTATTTATATATGTTTTAGTTAAAAATATTAAGTAATTAAAGTTTTAATGAAATGTTAATAACAAGATACATGTAGTTAGATACATATACCTAATAGTAGTCATTACTTACATTTTAAAATATTCTTCTGCTATTGTATTTATTTATTTTTTTTATTGTGGTAAAAACCTAGAATTAAGAACTTTAATATCTTTCTCTCTACATTCTTTGTGCTTTCTTTATGTAATGTACTTAGATGCAGTATTTTACAAAACTGCTTTTGTTTTCACTATAACAAAGTTAAAGAAAGATGCAGAAAATTACTCTTTGCTGTAAGTAATTGTTGAAAATCTACATGTATAAGACAGTTAAGGAATTAAATGTCAGAAATGTAGCATCAAAATGGACCAGTTGCAGTTACAAAAGATAATTAGCTTCAAACTACACTAATTTAATACAATTGAAGTAATCATTGTTTATGTAGTACAGGGTAGGCACTAAGAAGTAGCATGAAATTTAATAGTAACATCAGTATAAAATATAAAGGTACATTGTTGAATTATTGTATATTAAAAATCTATAGATAAATAAATGAATTGTATATACAAGTACCTCAGTATATAGGAATTTTAAAAGATTATACCAAATATTGTGAGGCAAGTGTCAAATCAGAAAAAAGTAGCACAAGTAATTGTGCCTGGAAAAAGTTTAGTCTAATAGACACATACATATATACATAATATTAGGAAACATTTTCAGTATGTTTTAAAACCTCTGATACTTCTACTTCCAATGTATACAACATGTGATATTACTATATTGATTGAAGCGTAGATAAAAATAGTTTAGTACACAGTATTGTGGAATATTCATATGATATTGTGAAAGTACCAGTCAGTTTATGTGTGTAATGAATGTAAATGAAAATATAAAGTTTGAAAGAAAAGTGTTGGAAAAACGAAAAAAAAATGTAAAAACAATTATTTGTACGTATGGTGGTTGCTGATTGTTTCTCAATGCGAATAAGATTGTTCATAAGTACTATGAAATTTAGCGACTGTAGGTAGTCTGAAGCTCCATTTTAGGAAGATAAAACAAATTAAAAATTAGAAAATGAAACATATATTTCATTGTTAGAAGAATGTTAATAATATAACATTGTGAATTCATACATAAAACAGAAATTGTTTATTCTAGTATGTATTTAAAAACTAAAAGCCAAAAAGATACTTTATTATTTCGCATAAATGACCAATTGTGAAGACATACTGATGAATAAAATTTGCGATTTTATTTATACTGTACATGTTACTATAAAGTACCACAAACTCCTGACCCACTGAAACTATTCAAATAACAATAGTAAGATTATGTATAAGAACTCCTTACATATTGAATTCTGTGTTTGAGAGACTGTAATATGTGTATCATGCAACCAAATTTTAATTTAAGGCAACTTTCAACCCATTTCTTTGACTGATGTGTTCAGTTTTTCTAATGTTTATACAAATAAACACTATAAAATCTCTCAGTCATGGAATGTAATTTTTTTACTTGGAATATGTTTATGAATGTGTGTTTTATGAGTATATTTTTTTCTTCAATTTTTGCTTATATATATGTTTATGCGAAGATAATTTTTATATCTGTGTCTGTGCAATTTCAGAAAGGTTAATACATATAAGAATTATTATTTTGAAGCTTCTGTAATTTTAATGAATGTTACAGTTATTGCTTGTTATTTACGAATAACTTTAACTAAAAATGAGACTTTAGAAATCATTTAAAATAGTAAATTAGTTTAGAATATTGATTTTTTGCACT